ATCTATAAATCTATCAATCAATCATCTATCTATGATCAAAACCATAGACGCAGCAGTCAAGAAATCAAATGACATATTGCATTGAGCAAATTGGCTGCAAAAGACCTCTTTCTTCAAAGTGCTAAAAAGCAACGATATCACTTTGAGGACTAAGGTGTTACTGATCTAAGCCATACCCATGTAATTTTAATTCATCTCATATATATGCAAACGATGGGTAATGAATAAGGAAAACCAAAGAAGAAGTCATACTTTTGAGTTATGGTATTGTTGAAGAATATTGAATATACCATGGATTGCCAGAAGGACGAACAAATCTGTGTTGGAAAAGTATAGCCAAATGCCCCTTAGATGCAAGGATGGTGAGACTTCTTCTCATGTATTTTGTACCTATTATCAGGATGAGCCAGTGTCTGGAGAGGACATCAAGCTTGGTACAGTGGAGGGTCAGGTAAAAAGAAGGAAATGTTCAGTGAAATGAACTGACACAGTGGCTGCAATAATGAGCTCAACCACAGTAAAGATTATGAGGATGACACAGGACCAGGGAGTGTGTCGTTCTGTTGTTTATGGACTGACTTTGTGTGGTACTTAAGGTTATGCGTCAACTTGGCTGGGCCTAGTTATGAGTGGATGGGCAGCTGAATGGAGTTATTCCCCGTGCTGAGATTGGTCATCAACTTCATGGTGGAATCTATTGGAGAAGCTGAGGAGTTGCCTTAGGAATGTGGTCTGCTTCCAGTATATAAGAAGCAGCTTTGAGGAAGGTATCTAGTTTTTGGCACACTTGGACCTTGCACATAGCCGAGTCTTCATTTAGCAGCCTGCCATATTTCCTGCTATCTTGGGACTGTCTCTGGACTTGAACTAGTGGCCTGCCTTGTTGTTGATAACACTGGGACTGTGCCATTTTGTCAACCTTGTACTTGTTAGCGTCAGCAGCCAGTAGCTGCCTGAGTGAAGAGGCACCTCTAGCTGCAGTGGGTTAGAGCAAGAGGCAGAGAAGAAGCCCAGGGTCAAGAGGCTTTCACCTATAGCCCTAGAGCTCAGCACTTTGAACTTGGATTTCTAGTTTCCAAAACTGTAAGAGAATAAACTCCTTTTTGTTGAAAAAAAAAAAAAATCCAAACTCACTGACATCAAGTCAATTCCAACATATAGCTATCCCCTTTGGTTTTCCAGGACAGTAAGTCTTTAAGGAAGTAGATTGCCCAGTCTTCCTTCCATGGAGTGGCTGGTGATTTGAACCACCAGCCTTCTGGTTAGAAGTCAAATGCCTTAAGCACTATGCTATTAGAGCTCCTTACTATTTGTTAAAGCCATCCCATTTGTGGTATCTTCTGTTAGAGCAACACTAGGTAGCCAAAACACTGTGAATCAGAACTGACTTGACAGTACCTAACAACAGCATCCATCCATCCATCCATCCCTCTATCCAGCCATCCATCCATCTGTCATCCATCCATCTATCTATCTGTTAAACCAAATCATACCTGATTCCCTCAAGTTGATTCTGACTTATTGTGACCCCATGTATTACAGTGAACTGCTCCACAGGATTTTCTTGGCTATAATCTTTCCAGAGGCTGATCACCAGAACTTTCATTCATGGCACTATTGAGTGGGTTTGAACTGCCAAAGTTTAGGTTATTAGCTGATTGCATACTATTTTTGCCACATAGGAACACAAATTCTTTTACTATTGAAAATTTATCTTCCCTTCTTTATTAGTTGTTGTTGTTGTCGTTATGTGCCATCGAGTTGGACCTGACTCATAGCCACCCCTCCTTGGATTTCGGAGGTGGTATCACTACGGAAGTAGACTGCCCAACCTTCTTTCCAAGGAATGGCTGGTGGTTTTGAACTGTCAGCCTTAGAAAGTCAACCAAGGATCTTTTCCTCCCAATCTTTTCTCTCCAAAGTATAAACTACTGTCCAAACCAAAACCTCCTATCATCCAATCAATTCAGGCTCATAGCACCCTCATTGTGTTTCCATGGCTGTAAATCTTTATAGAAGTAGAGTATCTCATCTTCCTCCCACGGAGCAGCTAGTGGGCTTGAACTACCAACATTCTGGTTAGCAGCCAAAATGTCTTACCCACTATACCACTAGACTTTCTCTTCTTTCAACACATGCATATAAGTACCCTCTGAAAATTGTTGTTAAATCCTGTTGAGTCAATTTTTACTCATAATGACCCTAAGTGACAGAGCACAACTGTCCCATTACGTTGTCTACACTGTAGTCTTTATGGATGTAGATTGCTAGGTGTTTCACCCACAGAGCAACTGTGTGGGTTTGAACCACAAAGTTTCCCACTAGCAGCCAAACCTTTAACTTTTGCACAATCAGGGCTGGAAACTATCATTTAGATAATCTAGACATTCCTTAAATGTGTCACATAAGAGAAAAACTTGACATCTCTGTCCATTGGCCCTAATATTCATGACCTGTTTTTTTTTTTTTTTTTTTTAAATATATCAGTGAAAGATGCCATTATCCATTTGGTTTTCCAAATCAGAGACTACTTATTTTTTATTATATATTCTCGGATTTTAAGCAAATATCAAATTTATTCCCAGTTCCTTACAATGTTATCTTTTATGTAATTTTCAAATTTAGCTCTGATAGCGTAGTGCCTAAGGCTCTTGACCTCTAACCAGAAGGCTGGCAGTTCCAACCCACCAACCACTCCTCAGAAGGAAGTTTGCACAATCTATGTCCATAGTGATACTGTCTGGGAAACCCAAGCAGGGGTCGTTATGAG